GAATTGTTAGGTAAACATAAAACTGAGGCAGGCTACTGCACATGTAACTATGTGCTACAATTGCACTTCGGAACTGCCTACAGCATCGTGTGCACTGAGTGATGCGGCAGTATCTTGTATGGAGAAAAGCAGGCGTCTGTTGCCTACTTGTTTGATTCTACACAGCCTGAAACATGACACAAAAGAGATAGTGATTGCAAAGCTACTAAGACACAAGATAAAAAAATTAACCAAGCTTTGGAAATAAACATAAATAACAATCATGGTAGATTAATGAAAATTTATTGATAAATTCTTACTTCAATCTAATTCTGAAAAAATGTACAAGTAAATCTCATTTGCACGGCACTGCAATGAGTTTACATCTATTGAAATGCATTACAGAAAGCCAGATATTTTTATATACCTCTAATCTTCTCAAAATTGTGACAAATATTGGAGGTCTCAGTATTAATTTCTCATATATATTACTTGTCTAATAACTCTACTATGGCATGGCCTTTTCATATCTATATACTGTCTATGGTACTTTTATATCTTTATATTGAATTAAATTATGTTAAAATGTAAGTAGCTGAGCATGGACAGGAAGGTAGCATATTGGTGTAGTTCAGCAGCAGTTGCTCTGTAATGCAGGTTATATTGATGACCAGAGAGCATTTCTTACTGACAATTTTCTTATTGTTTTTCTCTATTCAGAGAATTTGGCTTTGATATGACTTGAAAATTCAAATATCAGGTTTATAAGGGACATTTTATTATGATGTAGGTAGTACAATGTTTCAAATGCAACTAACATTCATTATCAAGGAGGGAAAGAGTTTTGAAAACTTTAATTTATTAAATTATTTATAATTTCAAATTACTTGAATTTCATAAATTATAATAAAATGTCCCCTTTTAAATTACCTACTTGAATTTTTGTAAATTTTAGTAAAATGTCCCTTAGGAACCTCATACTTGAATTTTCAAGTTGTATCTAAAGCCAAATAGATAGTAACAATAAGAAAATTGTCAATGAGATACATATACTCTCTGGTCTTCAATATAACCTGCATTAAAGGTAGAATATTGCACATATAATATCATCCTGCACTGTTTTAGATAGGGAAATAAATATATGCTTTCAGAAACTTTATGATACAATGAAAAGTTGCACAAATCATTTCTGAGTAAGCTAATGAATTTTTATGCATCTATATATGAATTTTAGAGTCTACTGGATATCTCTCACTGAGAGTAAGCAAATTTCACTGAGTTCACTGAGTATTACTGAGAGTAAGCAAGAAAATTTTTTCTTGACTTTTTATTATTGATTGTATATACTTTTACTTATTTATTGAATTACTTTTGTTACCTATGTCACATGAAAATAATATCATTGAAGTACATTCATAGATACATTTTAATGTATGAAGTGCATTGAGGCAAGAGAATAATATATCATAAATTGTTACTAAATAGTACATAAACATGTCGTTTTGAGATCATGCAAATGTTTATGTTCAAAGGTAGTCTTAAAGCTGGTAATGAAATAAAAAACATTCCATAAATCTGCATTGAATGTCTTGACTGTGTTCCATAAATGCCAACTGAAGTTGGCAATTCCAAGAATGGCACACAAAATCATAAACTAGTGCTCATTTTTTTTTACTTATTTAGAGTAATGAAGGATGGTTGATTCATCACACCAGTGAATAGAACAGCAGGAGACTTCATCAAAATCATCAAGAACAAAACAATTAACTGAATGATATTTAACAAGTTTGAGTAACAAGACTTATGAGGGCCAGTTCTAGTGTGGCATTGCTACATGACATCAATTGTTATATCAAAGAGCTACGCAGCACATACGTGCATTAGCATGATAGCTGTGCAATTTGTGTAATTACATTTGTATATTTTCATGTAGAACCAGTAGCTACGCATTACTATTGTTTACTATAGCACAATGTAAGTCAGATTACGTCAGTCTTTACCTCGGCGTCTTCCTTCTTGGTTGTGTCAATAAACTTACGAACCATTCAACCTTTAATTCCAACCCTACGGAATTAACAATAGCATCATAAAAGCTTCAGGACATGATGGTTTCAGGCTAATTTCGTCCAAATTTTATGCAGTAAATTTACAGAGAGTATACAATTGGAGAAATAATCAGTTGCAAAATTATGGCAAGTGTGTTCAAATGTTTATAGAAAAGGCTAGAATTTCCTCAAGTTACATTAGCAAAATTATATGCATTTCAATGAAATTTTAAACAGAGCATGGACAGGTCAAAATGTTTTTTGGGCATTATCCCATAGTCTGTGTGTTGTACTATTTAAAATTTTTTATATCAATAAGATGGAAGAATTATATAGAAAATCATGTGACACCAAACTGCAGTAAAACTAAAGGTTATGTTTGTTTGAAAAGGTTGAGAGTATGTTTGTTCAAGTTAGGTCAGGTTAACTAGCTAATAAAATTAAATAATAAATCAACCTAAATGTAGCTCTACTGTCATGTTTGGTGGTTCCTGATTTTCACCAGGGCATGGTGCCATTTTGAAGTATATATAACATAACCAGGGCTTTTAGCATATTAGAAGTATGAGACTAGGAACATGCCCACAAGCAGGCATGCAATATACATCTACTTCTTGAGCCATGACTTTCACAAGCCAAGAGATACTGCTTAGATCAATTATCTCTTGTTGAATCATTCATAAAAGCACACAATTAAATGATATTCATTGAAAAAGTGCTCTTTATTTAATGTAATATTTGAGAGGCAGAAAACTAGAAAATTTTTCAAATAAAGTCTGTTTCCCAATATGACTTTAAGAGGACATTAGAACTGCAACTTGAGAAAATATTATGAGGACACACAACTAAGCTGAAACCAATCCCCAGGCATTAACCAATCCACAGCTGGAGTCCTGATGCCTTGGGCACAACCAGGATTTGAATTTTTCTACTTGTTTCTGAAATCTCACGGCTCCAATGTGACAAATTTTTAATACAATTGGAATCTTGTGGCCTGATTGTGCACTTTTCTTAACAATTAGTTAGGAGGTAATTCATCTGGCGGGAATCTCACAGTTCCAGAAATGGTGGGAAAGTTCTAGTAGCGGCACAGCGGCACTAAAGGTAGACGTTTTCCCTGCTTGAGAACAACTGAAGGGACCTGCGCTCACCTAGAATTTAGAAATCAATCATGCACTAGAGAAATTACCTCCCATCAATTAGGTATCAATAAACTTTGGATTTTGGAATGCTATTACTAAAAAATACATGCTAGTATCAAAAATATTTTTTACCACTCCATTAAATATTAAAAGTTCATTGAATATAAGTCTCTAATTCTTTCAACAATCCATGTGTATGCATTGTATAACTCAGATAATTGTCAAAGAAAGTGTAGTATATAAATATGAAGTGTAGTATATATAAAACACCACATCAATGATTATTGATATCTCATCTCAATTTTTAGGCAGGTTAGTATTCAGATTCATTCCTGTTTATTGAGAAAGGAGAAAAATAACTTTCAATTGAGCAAATGATAAAAAAAGAAGTCTTTAATTTTAAGCCATTTACATAGTTAATTAATTTGTCAAATGCTTAACTTCACAACTGATTTTTTTTTTCAACATTCATTTATATTAGAGTTGAATAGGAGCTCGTCAACTTGTCAAGCTTATTTCTGGCCTATTATGAGTGTATTTGAAGTTAGCTCAAGAACCAGGAAGAGTGATACATTACAACTTTCTTGCATGAAACAACTTGCAGAAACTATTGACAATGTAAAGACACTAACTAATTTTTAACAAATCTTATCTAAGTGTAGTGACTTGGTCAGCTGATTAACTCAACGGTCAACTTAGTGATAGTAAAGGGAAAATTAACTGCAAATAGCTAACGAACGTGTCGAAAGATGATAAAAATCAACTTTCGAAGCTGCTTTAACAGGAAACATATTAAATCAAGAATTAATTAGACACTAATTGAAGTCACTATGAAGTATAATGAATAAGGTTACGGGCAGGCAAATTACTTTAATCGATCAGGTGACCACCCACAACACTCCGATTAGCGGTGGCTCGAGACTTGGCACTTTCTGACAACCAGCTGTTCAACGTACACACACTTGTCAACAAGGTTAACACTGAAATTACTCTCAAAATATGTGAAACGAAACTTACCTTGGTTAAAAAAGTATTCATACTTCTGTTGCTACATCAATTCACGTAATTAAATAGAAATAACAGCTAAATACAGTTACAATCTAAAGCAAATTTCTAAACTATACAACATATCGCGGAACGTCACTGACGACCAAGTAGTGATATCTATATCAGGCAGATAATAATAATGAGATTTTTAAAAAATGTATTTACATTCCAGAATACTAGAGAAATCATTTTCATAGCTTGTTACTCCAAAATTCCTGCAATACATAAATTAAACAGATATCAGCTGTTGAATCGTGTCTTTTTCTGAAAATGCAACGTATTGTTGGAACCTGTGAATGGGTTGGGCTCGGTTATGCCCATTTATCAACATATATTCCTTGTCTCAACTCTCATTGAAAAAAATCTCAAGTATTTAATAATTTTTTCTTTAGATACAATCGATTTAAGTTTTTCTTTCTAAATTAAATGTAAATTTCCGCGAAAAAAAGTAGACGTCCTTGGGTTTAAAGAGCTGGAATCGCAGATATCGATATGAAGACTAGAAATATTTTCCAAGATGATTGTAGCATGATTCATGAGGATTTGATATCAGGATATAATATGCAAATGTGTGCAGATGGAGTCTGTTTTTCCCCCTTTTTGTTTGTTAATAGGTAAAGTTTACTTTCAAGGTCGTATACCCGGCGATCGCAGCTTGCCTCTATCATGGCATGAAGTTATTGTCAGCTTCCATTTTAGATGATCACACCAACCACAATTGAGCTAGTGTATAGTAAAGGCTTAGAAAACGTGCGTAAAAACTAAAACATTTTATTCTTTATCTGTTTCTCTCATATTTTTATAAGTTAAAATATATTTACTTTGTGTAAGTTGTATCGTGATTCATTATGAACCGATGAACAGGACCGTCAAAGACCTTAAATCGTATTGTCAAAGTCAAAGTAAAAAATTTTTCGTTTATCAGGGCTATATCAGTAGCCAAAAAGGAAGTCGAAAATAGCAAATAAAGGCTGACTGTCTAAAAGTTCTACGCTAGGAAATTATATTGGAGGATTAAAGCTGAAAGCATGGTAATGAATGAAGTATCATGACTGTCAGTTTGGAGATTACAGAATATCAATCGTTTGTACTTGTCACAAAAATTCATTCATTACATTTATATTTGAATATTTCATTTAAAATGAGTCAATATCTAAGTCTTCATTGTCATAGTATTTCGAAAACAGTTTTTTCGATTTCTCATTGAGTTGTGGAGTTGCTGAGTCATTTATCGCCGCAACATTTAGCAGCTCTTGCTGACTTCCAGTCTCTGGCATGGACAAAAATTTGTCTTTTGACGATGAAACGTAAAAAGTTTCGTTTTGTTCCAGCCTTTTTTTCTTAGGGAAAGGTTCAGCAATACACTCGTATTTTTGTTCATCACTCTGTGAGCTTGTGGATACTCTCACTTCTGTCCCAAAACTGCAATCGTTGGAAAATCTTTTCCTGTTTTCCATCTTGTCGGCATGAAAGGTACGGAGAGGTGAGGCAGTTTCAGATCGTGATTCATTATAAATCATTGCCGCCTCGTGCGAGAAACTCAGACCAGATTCAACGTTCGTCCACTCTTGCCCACTGGGTAGCTCGAATCTAGGATGATTATCATCAATATTGGTACACTGCAGATCGTAAGACGATCCACATGCCATCAGATCCATACCATCAAGCTGGCTGTAAGCAGGACCATCGAATGGTTCCAGCACTTCATGACCAGTTGCGAATTGCTGTGATCTGAAAGCAACTACTGGGGATTCCACATTCAGCTCAAAAAAATCCCTGTTATTTTTCAAAGTTCCATTCGTGTTGCATTCTATCAAATCATCCTTAGGATGCGCGAAAGTTTTTGCTTCTGCTTCAAGGTCTGCGGCGGAGTCCTTCCGAGCAATGTATGAGTTCAGCTTTTGAACATGAACTCTGCAGTCTTTAGCCGAACCTTTGCCGTATACCTGGCAGAAAAATATGTACAAGTAAGCATTTTAAACGTAGTATGCACCAACAATATAAGTAAGGAGTTATTTCATAAATAGAATTTGGAAAAATCATCAAATTTGAATGTATTCTACTACGGAGTCCTTGTCAAGTAAACAGATATGATATCATCGTATGATGAATAATAAATTAATTTTCATTATATGAAGTTTTTTCAGATAGACTGACCTTCTTCACAGATTGTTTCTCACCGCAAATCTTGCAGACAAATTTATTATCCTTACGCACTATGTGCACCTGGCATGTACCACATGAGCAGCAACGAACAACGTGAAACTCTTGCACCATTTTTATGGAATTTTTTTTTCCCAAAATGAACCAAAAATATTTAAAACTATTTTTCTGAAATAAAGTAATAATCATAGATAAGGAAAACTGCAATAAATCATATGAATAAATAATATGAGGAATATTTTATGGGCGGACTATAGCAATGTAGATGAAGCACAAAAATTTAAATCGCAGTAATAAGTAGGAAATATTTAAATCTAAGTGGTAATGAAAAATAGACACGAATAAACACGTTTCGATAGCAGTAACACAACGAGTAAAGTCGAAATAAATATAAACGTACCATAAAGCAATACAAATAGCTTATTCTCACGGAAAGAAAACAAAAGCACTTCATGTACATAAATGTCAAGTTTAATTTACAAAATTTGTGCGGAAATTTCCTGCCCTGCATTTAGAATGACGTAGGGCGCTACCAGGACGCCCATTGGCTCCTGCGTTGATTTTACCACAATGGCGAACTGATCATTTTGATGTTCTGAATGAGAGGCAGCAGCGAGAAGCCAGAAAAATGTCTCTATCCGAAGAAATTAGTTCCACAAATGGAAATCGCTCAAAAGAAGGTACGTTCATGTACTTGTATATTCTTCATCTATCATTTATTATAGCTTATACAGCTTGTTATTGTCAAATTACTCCGACCGTTCCAATTACGTGACCAACTACTTGTGTTTGGAAGAAAGTATTGGAACTATCTTATTTTAAATACTGTACATTCATTCTCTCCTTAAGGAATGTAAACATAGAAGCATGGTCAGTGTGAGTTACGACCTTAGTAATTGAGTGATGATAAATATGGTAAAGACTAAATGGTTGCTCAAGCTATTTCATAATGGGTTGCCAGTATAGACTGACGCACTCTGAACAGACATGGGAAGAGGGGATAAATATTTCATTTGAACGACCGAGTCTTGATTTGTAGTCACTAGTCAGCCTTCGAGACTGAGCAAATCCTGAAAACCATGGCCCATCATGATCACCCATGTAGACCTTGAGGCCTTAGGCTTAGCCTGCTTAGTGCCCACAACCACAAATAGTATGGATTGAATTTATTGATGTTTGTTTGTTGTTGAATGTTTTATTGAAGATACAAATTCTGTTAACCCTTGAAATTTATATTCAGCTGCAGCTTATGACTTTCAGAAATTCAGTCCAGTGACTCAAATATCAGCTCTGGTTGCTACCAGCCATAGTGGCAAAGCACTGAAAGCAGAGAGTTTTTTAGACTCTCCCTCAAGTTCATTTTTGATGTCCTATAGTCCTATAAGTAGACCAGTAAAGTATCCTGGATACCAGCATCCCATCACCATACATAAGAAATTGGTTTAAATCTTGGGTAAATGAGGAAATTAAAAATGAACTGATTCTAAAAAATCTCTAGTTTGTCACTATGACACTATGCTACCAGCAGATTTTGAAATTTGTACAAAATAAAGAATTTTGTTGCTCCCATATGAATTGGGGCCAAGCCATGCATGAATTGGACAATTGGACTAGGGTAAACGCGATATATTCCGACATTGTAGGTAATTCCGTCACTTCTCTAGTTTTTCCTTTATATTAAGCTTTGTTTTAGTTTATTAAAACGTAATTAAGTAGTGTTCAATATTCGTTAGTGTTCTAATTCAAAGCCTTGTTGTATCCCAATACAGCTCACACAGCAAACGGAATTCGAACACGTGGATGTCGGCAATACGTATCAGTTAAGTTTGAAGCGCTGACGCAATACGACTCACCACATGTCGGATGTTGCCACACAAAGTGACGGAATATAGGGATTTGGTAGGTTTCCATTCTAAAGGCTTTTTAATAAATATGGCAACATTTTGTGACATTTCATCGTTGCTGACGCGTAGTGAAGTGTTTTGAGAGTCATGTGAAAGCAACAGAACTTACGTAACGCATACGGTTTTTTTTTATAGTTTTTCATTTCTCGATGCGTCCTTAAAGTGTCGGAATATACCGCGTTTACCCTAGACCTATAAATTGGAAAAGATCTATAAAATTGGCCAATTTTACCAATTTCTATGGCCTTTTTGCAATTTAATGAATTTATTCAGTGTAAAATTAGAAAAACGGCATAATTTTACCTGCAATTTTTTTAAAATAACCTGTAAAACAATCATTTACTTTACTGTGATTTTTTAATATTCCTAATTGGGTTAGTGGGTTACACCAAACCAAAGCAAGATATTTTAACATGCTTAACCCTAATCACCAGGGTGCAGAGGGTGAAAGCAGTGTCACCAATAATGGGTTTTTAAGCCCAAAGCGTTGTTACCGTGTGTCTCTAGCGGGTGAGACAAACTCGTTGTCTGCTTATGAATTTAGAGGTAACTATCTAAGTGAAAGGATAATGAAACACTTTCTCTATAAAATTAATTAAGGGATCTTGTACAAAATCTATCAAAACAAGTGACTGAAGTAAACAAAACAAACTATGGATAAGGACTAATAAAAGTGGTGTGATTTGTGAGTGGTTATGCTAAAAGTGAACTAGAAATTAAGACTTTAGAGTTTAGAGCATGGGCAGGCAGAGGTGGTTCGTGTGCCAGTTAACTGAAAAGCATAACTAAAATTAATTGCTGGAAATTAAATTGGCAACACTCATGATAAGACTTAGGAACATGAGAACTATTTTAAGGTAATTTAACCACTCATGGCCATCATGCCAATTAAGACAATAAACATGCTTGAAGCATTAATTAGTGGAACAGAAAACGGAATCATAGTTAATGAAGGTACAGTGAACAAGTCAAGATTTCAATGTTACAACTGTGAACAACTGTGTGAACAACTGTGAACTCATATCAGCACTTTAGAAAAGCATCACAACATGGGACAGAATAGCTGGTACAGACTAAATAAACACATAATACAATCACATAATAAAATGCGCATTCAGAAATACCTTGCAATGACAACAGTTAAATTAAGAACCAAAAGCCTCTATTGAAATTTGTGAGAATGAAGCTTAAGTAAGAAAGACTTAAGCAAGACAGTGACGCTCAGACACTTAGCATCATCTTACCATTAGCCTGAAGGGACAACAACAGCAGTAAACTCACCTAGGCAATAGTCCTTCTAACAAGCAATAATAGCCTTCTGACTTCCCAATTGATCAGACAAATTACCACAGCTTCACATCAAGGCAATGACACTGGTAATGGAAAATAAATTGAAGCTGGAACGAGATAAGAGAAAACATGGCAATGTTAATAATGAATACATCAGATATAGGTTAAAATTAGCTAAATGGGAGAAGGCAGTAAGGGATGTGCTAAAACCTAGCTTAATTATGCTCCCTGCAACAGCGTTGCCAACCATTTTCAAGATGCATCGCCGGGTAATTTTTAATGAAAAACTATTTACAAGCCACAAACTTATTTACAAGGTTGCATGCACGTATTACCCCAAATAATTAATTTAACCCTAAAAACAGTCTGATTGTACAGCAAGTGTCAACTGAACATGTGATAATGCAGTCTGACCGCTCTAATGTGACCGCAACTATGCAATCGTAAACTTGTTGTTTACATTTGCGTAGGATATTTTGACGGGAACTCATCGCAGCTGATTTCCAGACAAGCTTCACTGCATCCTGATCCATCCAACGTACTGGAAACCTTACTCTTTTCTAAATAATTGGCCAAAGACTAACAAATATATTAAATATAAGAATTTCAATCTAAATGTGTCGGCAAGATCTTCTGAAGGTGTGAATTTTGTTACTGAAGCGTCGCCAAACATCTTGCAATATTCATCTACTCTGCACAGTGGCCTAATTACAACAGGTCTGTGGAAAAACACTCTGATTTATGATAACCTTTGTAAACAAACAATTACAAATCTCACAGCCTTGTCTGTCAATGTCAAGATACCCTTCAACTGAGATCTATTCATGGTGTTGGAATAATATTTTAGTAATTATGATCTACTGAAATAGAGTAACTCAAGTTTTTTCAAGTCAAGTCTTTTTTAGCCCCTTGTAAAGTGCCCTGGAAGTTTGATCTGAATGAGACGCCACAACAATCTCTTTGTGGAATAGTAATAATAATAATTAGGTAGGTCATTTAGCAAACTACATATAAACTTTTCACCGCGGAGACGAGTGAGTTGCTCTGCACATAGGCAGCAAGCTGTGTCCCTGTGATTCTGTCAAACTTACAACATCAGTGTTCAGCAAGCAACAGAGGTGGGAGGTACTCAAGCTTTCTGCAGTGCTCAAATCTCTCATTTCATGTAGGTAGTTATGGCAATGGCAAGCTATGAACTCACTGACAATAAGATCAAAAATCTATTGGAACAATAAACTCATAAAGAAACCAGTGTCATGCAATGAAGAAGCACATGAACTGGCGATGAAGATGCTCATACTCCAGCAATAAAGATGCACATGTTTTCAGGCATTTGCACATGTGAATGACTTATGGTCTCCTCTCACCAATAACATCACCTCAATATCAAGCAGTCAGAATTGTTGTATGCAGAAATGGCTCAGCTTGAGACTAGAAATTTAGTCATTTGTTTCTCAGAATTTTTCAAAATGGATTAGAAATAACAATTGTGAGTTTGTAGACTGCATATGATATGAAACAATCTATATTATTGCCTGGTAAAATAATTGCTGCTAAAGTGCTAATGTTTGATGGAAAGAACCCAAAAAATACTTGACAGATTAAGAGGAGTGTATTGAGGAAAATTTATCATGGTTATTTACAAATGGATCACCTTTCAAACCTTGGTACACATATGTAAAACCAAATCCTAAGACATTTTTGTTCCTGTCAATTTTTTTAAATTAAAAAAAATGTGAAATTCTTAGAAAGCAACCAAAAAAGGGGGTACTGTAGAAATCTATCTCCTCCTAGGATTTTCAAGCTACAACATCGAGATGCATATCATTCGATGCATAAGGACCATATCTATTGATTCATTGTAGTTTTTTATATTCAAATTTTTGTGGGTGGGGAGTATTTTTCATAATTTTTTTGTAAATTTTTCAATTTCCCCCTCCCTTTTTTCAAGATATTTTTGAAACTATAACAAAATTGAAAAAGAGCAACAACCAATCTCTAGGTCTTTTATTTGCAAATTGAATGGTATGTCTCTCATTTTTGTAGCTTCAAAACTGTAGGAGGAGATAGTTTACCAGTGACAATAAGCGTGAATTAGAGCCCAATAAAGTCCCAGGCACCTCGAAATTGGCATTCAAGGCTGCAAGGTGGCAAGACTTGATGATACTGGAGCTCAATTTCTGTCAAGGATGGTGCGAATGATGGCAGGAGAACCATCCCATGAGACTGCAGCGGGGTTACTGAAGCGGAGTGTGTGACGACTAGCTATTTAAAGTGCATTGCGGTCATTATTCTCCATGTTAAACGTTAATAAATCTGTTGTGAATGCATAAATCGATGTACAGAGATGGTTTTGGTACTGTTGGATAGGTCAGAATGTCAGCTTTAAGATGAGACTAAGCACCGGAAAAGCCAAAACTGTCAATTTTTCACCAGTTGCTCCACTTAAAGGGCTGAAATCATCTGCAGCCAAGGTTGAAACATGACCTGAAAACCCAAGGCAATTAGAAAATAGAATTAAGGCAATATGGCCTGAAACAACCCACGGGCAGGTTTTTTCCAGAGGAAGAAACCTGACATAATTGCACTAGCTGGCAGTTGGCAATTTTGGCCATGATAATTTGGCATCCAACATGATTAGTAATTTTAAAATCTCATGGAGCAAATATGTACCTACTTCTGTTAACAATTGGATAAGAGTAAATAGTAATAGTAGTAAAATTTTTTCTTATTTCTTTCAGGGTCCAGGCCGCCCAGCCACACTAAAAGATATCTGTTGATGCATAATAGCATAAGCATCAAAATATTAAAATATTCATATCCAGATCATAGCCAGAAAATTAAGCTGACAATCTGCAAGGAAAAATAATTGTTTATCTACAACTGCAAACAGTGGCCAAAAGGCATGGACACAGTGGCTAATGGGAGATTTTTCAGAAGCTAGTTTATTTTTAATTCTCTGATCTAGCTCAACATTTTATGCAATACCTATATGATACTGCTGGTATCAATGACACTTTAATGTTCTATTCATTGAACTCAAAAGGATGAATCTGAAAATGTCTCTGCTTTCCCATAATGGGCATGTACTGTACCGTAAAATGGGGTAGGTAACTTAGACCGGCGGGGTAACTTAGACCACTTTTCGTTTTTTTAACAAAAACCCCCACAACTCAAAAACTATTTGACATAGAAAAATTTTGTCAATGGGCATTAAAGGCCTAATATTTACCCCAAGAGCTGGGGTAACAAAGACCATCACTTTTTTTGAAGTTACATAAAGACTATGAGAGGCAGGAGCCAGCAATTTATGGTGAGTGAAGCTAGAGTAGTATAGACCTGTATTTTGCATGTTTCAATTCAAGTTTAATTTAGCTAGTAAAAAAATGGCATCATTTATAAAAAAAAAGTGGTCTAAATTACCCCATTTTACGGTATCTAGTTTCTGATGGGTCCAGAACTTACCTACTTATTGCAGGGGTAATTTGGGATGCTTTTTTTTTCTTCTGGCACCTTTCAAATAGCATATGGAATTTTTTTGAGACGTCTTATGATAGCACTGGCAAAGACTTTTAAAATGAACCCAAACTTGTTTATGAAATCTTTGATTGTAAGAAGTTATCAACAAAAAATACAGTAAGAGTATTTTGAAGAATATTTAAATTCAACAAACTAAGCATCATTTTACTTCTGGCTACAGGTAGTTTGAAAAAAATGCTTCATTAGAGTAACAATTTGGCTGGAAGAAGACTGACGGAATAGCTAGAGGTTTGGCTGAATGGGAATAAAGTTAATAAATTTAAATTTTTATTACTGAAGTATTACAATTACCTACAGTATTTAGGAAACTGCTTACTTATGTGAGAAAGACCCATATCTGAATATAATTTGTACTAATGGACAACTGGAAAAACTGTTCCAACCAGTTGCTCTTTATTTCTTGAGTGTTAAGTTCAAAAAAGGTAATATGAACACAATTTCTAGTTAGAGAGTACGTAGTGAGTGTTAAGCATTGATTGAATGCCACTGAAGGACATCTTAGTTACCTGCTACTTGTGGTTGAAGGTCAAATTGACAAAGCAGGGAATAATGTGTCATGGTGTGGTCTCACTTCAGCTCCCAGTAGGAAGAAAAAGATACCTATTTATTTATAGTAATCACTACCTATCTGAGACTGACTGATGTTCTTTTGAATAAGGGGATATATATATATATATATTAATTTTAGACATGAAATTTAGTACAATAAAGATGTTAAATTGAATTTTTTTTTTCAGATGAGGCACTTATTGTTCAAAATTCAAGTTGCCTAGATCCTGTTGGCTTCTCCAATGTGCGAGTGAATCACGATGATGCCAAGAACTGTTCAGCAGCCAAACTTCCTGCCACTGCATCTTCAAACTTATCTCAGACACCTCAGAATGAACTGGCCAATATTGAACTTGGCAGCAAATCGCTGTACTCTTCACATTCTGCCATTCTCCACAGAAGTCCAAAGCTGCATTCTGCAACAGCACCTCATCAGCTTGATGATGAATCCAATTCAGTTCATCATCAACAATTGGCTTCTCTGGCTGCTAATCAAGTCAACTCAGTGGCTATTAATTTGCATGTTGATGGTATCCATGAACACAGTGCTAGGCTTCAAGAACCTGACACTCTTGCATCAGATGATGCATTTAATGCCCCTAATGCTCTTGTTCAGTATGTTGATGAGTCCAGCAGCCAGTCAGACAACCTCATCCCTTATGAGTCAACAATGCAAGATGATGGTACTGACCTGGGATCATTTAGTGTGTCTCATCCTGCTGTATATTCAGTTTCTTCTGAATCTAATTCCAATCAAATGGTCAGCTATCAAGATGAAGGCCAAGTTGAGAACTCAGTTGGTGATCTGTCGCAGTATCGCAACAGCTTGACACAAAGCACAAGTCCAGGTCTGGTTCATTATGCTGATGGACAAGAAGGGCTGACAATATCAGCTGCTGGTGATCAGCTTCTCTTGCCAGAAACCAGTCTGGTAAATTTTGTTGAGCTTGGTGAGGGTCTCAACATTGATCCCAATTCTCTGGCCACAAATAGCATCATGATGAGATCAGAATACATAAATGAAACTGCTGATGGAAGAGCAATATCAGTGGTGACTAATGATGAAGGATCTTCAGGGCTCACCTTACTTGATGCCAGAGAAAGAGATGGAACCGAAGAAAGTGCAGAAGCTTACATAACTGCAGATTCAGATGTCAACAATGGATCAGCTACTCAATATCTACACATAGGCACTGTGGGAAACCAGGCTATATCTGTTCCATTGAGCCTTCTCAACTCCCAGAGTGGTCTAGCATTGCTGCAGCAGTTGGGTGTTGTTCGGATGGACAATGAACATAACACAATTTTTTTACCTCAAGCTGCAGCTGAAAGTTCACAAGCTGTGCCCATGACAAGCAGTGTACCCATCAGTTCTGTAACTCTCCAATTTTCTGAATATTCCCAACAATCTCAGACATCAACTGTTGATACTGCAACAGCCACGTACCAAAGTACCAAGACATCTACTGTTGATACCGGGTACCAAAGTACCAATGTTCGGCAAGTGAGCAGCAGTGCGGCGTCCTCTAACAAGTCAGGGCGCCATCGTGTCCTGGGTTCTGGTCCCTTGGCCATAAGTGCCCAGGGCATCATACAGCAAGTTGGAGGCCGGAGAGTCACTGTATTACCTCGACCAGAAGATCTGCAGAGGTTGAAGGACCAGAAAGCTTTAGTTCTTGATGTGCCCGACAAAAGAGCTTTTGGGTTACATAGACGGAAAGGGCCTGTTCCAATCAGGCCTCATCAGAGGTAGGTCTTTTAAATTTTAAATATCAATTATTAATTAATTAGCTATTCAGCTCATTTTATATTTCAGCTATTTATATTGTAATCAATGGCATATTTACCAGTTAAGTATTACATTTCAAATTCATTCCTAGTGCAATCATTTCTAATTTAAATCATAGCTATATGCCCATCTTCCTGACTTGACTATTTATGATCTCATGTATGCACCTAAAGATTGGATGGTAAAAGAAATGGATTAAGGAGCATATATACAACACCTGTACAGTATATATAAGTAGTATGGTTTGTAGGTAGTACTGTACTCGTATTGCTAATAATTGTATGGGTTAGGCTTTTTATACACAATACCTGTACAGGTAGGGTTTGTAGTTCTGTAGATAATACTTGTAATGCCAATATTTATGTGTGTTTCAGATACAGTCGGCCCAGAGGTGGTCGCAGGAACTTCAGCTATGCAGCGGCCGACGATGGGGATGAGGATTACAGAAGCCCCTCTCAGATCCCTGCCCTTAGAGGGGGTGTGAGGAAGAGAGGGAGGAGGGGCCGTAGGGGACGGAGAGGAGGGAGCAGGGGAGGGGCGTGTGGGGTGGTCGTTGTTAACTCTTCAGGAAGACGTCCTGGACGACCAAGGAAGGTGGGTCTTGAGTATAGGAAAGAATATTAAAGAAATAATAATTATATTTTAATGACGTGTTTATTGTAAAATAATTGTAGAGAGGTAAAAAATGTTAGTATTTACTAACTAAATGAATACTTATATAGGTACATGATGAGATGTTTACATACATGACATTAGTTTACATAGTGAAGTGTGTGCGTGTTGTGCTACTGAACGTGCTGTACATTGTACGTTGTGCTGCAGGCTGTAACACTGAACATCATGTGCGTGTTGTGCTACTGAATGTGCTGTACATTGTACGTTGTGCTGCTACGTTGTGCTGCAGGCTGTAACACTGAACATCGTGTGCGTGTTGTGCTACTGAATGTGCTGTACATTGTACGTTGTGCTGCAGGCTGTAACACTGCTGGAGGGCCCTCTGGGTGCCCGTATGATCCACACGGGGCCTCAGGAGGCGCCTTCGCTGCAGGGAGAGTCGCCTGACGTCTTGACCAGCGAGGGTAAATGTTATGGTCCATCATCTTATGCTGAGCCTCATGTTTAGTTTAACATCTTTACTTTTGAGATAATGTTATTGAGAATGTCATAACGGATGATAATGTTGAATTCAAAGAATAATTAAGTAAATATTGGATTAAAATGTTGAAATTGAAGCATGTTCATTGAATATCAATCAACCACAAATGACATTGATTGGTCTGCTTGAGCTGTGTTGCCAGAACAAGTCAACTTCTTCTGTAGTTACTGTGTGATATTTCGTTTATATTTCTGTAATGAGACCAGCATTCAATTGTATTGCCTTATTTGGAGAGATTTAAATTCCCATCAAACATGCATGATAATTCATTTATAACAATTAATAGTTAGACAGTTGTTATTGAAAATGAAGTAAACTAATGTATTGAAGGCTCTTGTGTGCAGGGCTTGAAAATTGAAGAGATTGAAATCCCCGTCAAACATTATGCATACCGGTAATTCATTTATAAGACTTAATAGGTATTACAGTTGTTATTGAAAATGAAGTAAACTAATGTAAATGTAAACAGGAGTTGAAGACCTGCCCATGGCCGACGCCCTGCAGCTTCTCGATGACCCTGCTGACGCTAACAAACGACGACTTCCTCCCAGGAAACGCGGCAACAAGTAAGCTCCTTTGTAAGGTATGCTCTCTTCTCATTTTAATTATCAACAAGAACAGCGACAATACCTATGATATTCAATTTCCTTAGCTCTCATAAGTAAATACCTAATGCTTTTACCAATATATCGATTATCTGGCAACAGTTAACTAGTACATAGAAAGTCCGTTGTGTTATCATGATTAGGTGGCCGTGCGTGCAACTGCTTGATTTAATGTGTCACGTTTAAATCCTATCTCTTATTTTGCTTGAAAAAGACTTGAGACGCAGCAGTCGCTGCTGGCGATTTTCTTGTAAAAAATAAGTTCCTACATTATGTCATAATTATATTATGCCATGACTATATTGTGCTATAATTATATTATGTCATTAATATATTATGAATAATCATATTATGCCATAATTATATTATATTCTTATTATATTATTCCATTTTCATATTAGGCCATAATTATATTATGCAATTATTATGGTATACCATTAATATATTATCCCATAGGTATCCTAACAATAATGTTGCAATTCTCAGGTACAGCAAAATGATCGAGGCTCTGATCCTGCCGGACGATGAGATCCCCAGCGAATCCTCAGAGGACGATCCTGACTTCCCTGGCGCAGCGCGGGACGTCGTCAGGCTCACCCGTACCGGCAAGAGGGGTGAGTCCTGTAGGATGTGTGTCATACCTCATGCCTGTGTCATACCTCAGGATGCCTGTGTCATACCTTAGGATGCCTGTGTCATACCTTAGGATGCCTGTGTCATACCTTATGTGTACTGTGTCCTGTGTAGTGTGTACTGTGTCCTGTGTAGTGTGTACTGTGTCCTGTGTAGTGTGTACTGTGTCCTGTGTAGTGTGTACTGTGTAGTGTGTTGTTGTTGTTGTTGTGGTTCCCGGTCTCATTTTTACAAGAGACCCCCCTCGCGCAAGTACGACACCACCGACAGGGGGTCGCTCCAGAGCTGTAGGGCCGAGGTTATGTGGTGGTGTTGTCTGAGGTCCTGCCAGAGCGGACATTCCAGGAGAATGTGAGTGATTAAGTGGGGAGCTCTCTAGCAGGATGGGCATGTGTCTGTGTCTGCTTGGCCGATTCTGTTTGCGTATGTTTGTATTGAAGGGTGGTGGCCGCAGCGCAGCCTGGCTAGGTGTACTCTCTCCAGTCTAGAGAGCTGGCGGGTTTCTGTGCTGCTTATGTCAGGTGGTGGGTGCCCAAGGACTTTGTTGTTGCCGGCCAGCTCCAGCGTTCTAAGTGTCATAGTTGTGTGTAAGTTTTTTTTTGTGCTGGTGTTGCCTTGGGGTGGGGGTATTGTGTCTAGTATGTTGGTGTAATATCTGTGTGGGGTTTGCACTATTTGTCTGTGTGTAGGTGGGTGGTCGCGTAGGTAGTGGCATGGGTGTTGTGTGTTGTTTATGGCTGCGGCTATGAATTGTGTTCGTGTCGAGGTGTGCTTTTATGGGATGTGTAGTGTGTTGTGCTGTGTAGTATTGCCTCATACAGGTGCATTCATATTCACACAGATTGTCATGGTTCAATTGCTGGACATGAACTCTTCAGTAGTAAACTCATTGTTCATGTGAAAGTGATAACACAGATTATTAAGTAATTTATAGACAATATTTATATATTTGTAATTATGAGTGACCTGCAGTGAGATAACACTTGATATTTAATGAGGAATGATTAATTTGGTTGATGATGCTCAGGAGCCAGCAGTGATAGTGAAGTGGGCTCCTGGATTGAGGATGTTGTATAGTATGATTTATTTATTAGTGACTGAAAGCTTCGTGGCATATGGAACACAATAGTATCTAATTAACATTTGCTGGAACAGAATAAACAGAAACAACACTATCATTAAACATCACTAATGTTTTCTTTAACTGGTCCAGTAGTTGCAGGAAGACAAGTTCATAGCTTCAGCTAATATGTGGCCAGTAGTTGCATGAAGGCAAGTAGGTACGTAGCTTCAGTTAATATATGTGGCCAGCGGTTAATCTGTAATGTTTTAAATAGATAACTCGAGTTAATACATCACGTTTTTAATAAACAGCTAGAGTTGATACATAATGTTTTCAATAGACAGCTTGAGTTGATACATAATGTTTTCAATAGACAGCTTGAGTTGATACATAATGTTTTCAATAGACAGCTTGAGTTAGAACGTAATGTTTTCAATAGACAGCTTGAGTTAATACGTAATGTTTTTAATAACATAACATAGTGATGTCAGCGCTGATGAGTAGGCCTGAACTCGTGAACTTTTCGTGCCTTGTTCACAGAAGATCTAAAATCGTGTCATTTGACGCGGATCTTTTCAGGACTGATGATAGTTTGAAATAGCTATACTAGACTTCCACCGGGTTCGATATGGTGTTAGGCATTTCAAGTCTGAACATATAGGCAGCTTGAGTTAATCCGTTATGTTATGTCCAGGTTGACGCGGTCTCTTCAGACCAGCAGAGCCGCAGGTTCATGGCTGCCTACTCAGGACCTCGTCACAAGATTTCCTTATTCACGGGCCCGCCCAGCGACCCTAAAGTGGTTGTTAGCTGCAGCTTCGTGCCGCCCTCTTCATATACGCAAAGCTTTTCACTTCATCAGAGTACAATTAGTGACCCCAACTCGGGTCCAAATTCTCAGAACAATGAAGTGAACGCGTGTAGTGGAGACTCATTCGTGCATCACGACGTGGCTGCAAGAATGTCTTCTAATTATTTGGACAATGTATGTGACAACAGCCTTTATTCATACGGCGAAGTTCTGCGCTCCTCCACAGCTAGAGAAAGTTTTCTTAGTGAATCTTTGGAGGAGGAAACGAACTCGAAAGAAATAACGCTCTCTGCTAACGGGTTCGGGGGCTTTACAGTTTTAGACTCCGGTCCTGACTCCTGCTCGTACGTTGACGACCAAGGCAATGCTTACATGAGCTACGAGCGGACAGAAGAAGAGTACGAGCAGAAAGAGTACGCTAAAGAGGCCACGGGTATCACGTTGTCGACCAGCGTACATCTTGTGTCTGAGAACGAGGGTGGCGATGACCATGAGGGTAGGGATGCCTACCACATCATCGTCGACAGGATGGATGACAACACTCTCGTCAGTCACGTCAGCAGTGACGCTAAGCCAGTCTCTGATGACAGCTTCATTTCTTCCAGTGAACTTCAGCACAAAGAACTGCAGCTTTCTTTTGGCATTACTGACTCAGATGACAATTCTGCAAACTCAGGTCGGATCACAGAAATAGGAAGCAATAAAAATCAACGTAGCCATTCATCGTCAGATGCTTTGCTACTTCGCAACGACAGCGAAGCTCCTTTGAACGTTGCAGTTTATTCCCAGCCAAACTTTGGTCACCACACCAATTCAATGAAGAACTCATCGCCTGAAATTCTCAACTTCTCGAGTTCACAGTTTGATGTTGAGTCGAGCATCAGCGTTTGCGATGCTACTGAAGAAATGGACTTCTCCAGTCCACACGACAAGCTTAGCGTCGGTCGTGATGACATGAACGATGCATGCCATGAGGACATGAGTGGTGCATGCCATGATGACATCAGTGATGCATGCCATGAGGGCATGAGTGATGCATGTCATGAGGATGCAGTGATGCCCAGCATCAAGTGTGAGCCGCTCCTCGATGCTCTGCCGTCCTGTGATGCTCACCAGCGCCGTCTGCCGCAGTTGAACATCAGCGACGACCTCACGGTGAGGCGTGCAGCGATGACGGTGTCTTGCTGCTAGTATCATCAGTATGACGTATCTTGCTGCTATTCTTATCACCACCACAACCACTACCATCATCATCACTATGCAGTGTCTTGCTGCTGTCACTACCACCATCATCATCATTATGCACTGTCTTACTGCTGTCACTACCATCATCATCATCATTATGCAGTGTCTTGCTGCTGTCCTTATCACCATCATCATCACTATGCAGTGTCTTGCTGCTGTCACTACCATCATCACTATGCAGTATCCTGCTGTAGTATTCTTATTCATAATTAATCTTATGCCAGGTTAGTTGCACTAATCCTCTCATCTCCAAAGGGGGAAAGCTGCGTTGGCTGTTTGTTCCCTTTATTGTCACGAACTTAATTGTTTATATATATATATATCAACTCAATTAGCCATCAAAACTTGCTCATATTCTGAGATATGAAGTAGCGTCCTGCAATTTTAGTTCCGGGTGTGTAAAAATCTGAGGACAAAGAAAGCTTTAAGCTAATATCCGACACATAATTAGATGTATATATATATTACTATGAGTCACTAATTGATGTTTGCCGTATTATACTTAATATCAGACACATAATTGGTTGTATAGATATTTTCTTGGAGTCATTAATTAATGTCTGCCGTATTATTTATATAATATCCGACACATAATTATATGTAAAGATATATACTTGGAGTCACTATTTGATGTCTGCTGTATTATATATATTATATCCGACACAATTAGAGGTATATATGGGGTATATTACTCAGAGTCACTATTTGATGTCTGCCGTGTCCCCCACAGCCGGGAGTGAGCAGGTCGGAGCAGGGCGACTACTGTGGTGAGCACGACGCTAGAGTCCCAGGACCTGGCGACCCCTACAGCAGAGCTGACATCTTCCTCGACCACAGCGCTGCCTTCTTGTCTGGTGCGCTAGACTTGTTATATAAATTATTGATATTAATGCCTTCTTACTCCTCTTATATTATAAATTATCAATATTAATGATAAAATAAATTATTGATATTAATGTATTGTTGCTTGACTTATATTATAAATTATTGATATTAATGCATTCTTACTCATCTTATAATATCAATTATCGATATTATTGTCTTGTTGCTCGATTTATTGTATAAATTATTGATATTAATGCCTTGTTGCTTGACTTATGATATAAATTATTGATATTAATGCTGAACAGCTTTTATTTTTAACCTGGTGCGGGGGTCTAACTTGCCTGGAAGTTTACATCCTTAAAATTCTCTCTTAGGAATCTGTTACCTATATTGTATATTCTAGTAAATTTCTGGTGTGTTGGAAGTTTGAAAAAGTTTATAAATGTACGGGAGCTCGTTGATCAGCAGTATTTATCATGCCGTATTGTTGCCGAGAATATTTCTGTCCTATGAAGTCAAGTTTTTATCGTGTATTGCTTTTGCAAAGTATGTAATGTAAGTTTCTCAAGCAGAGGTTCTGCATACAAAGTTATCGTGGATTCTTTCTTTAAATGTTTTATATGTGAATGGAAAGTATGTTTCGTAAGTTTTTCTGGAAGAAGATTGATATATAAAGTTATCTCTTAGTTTCACGTGGAAGATAAAAGTTTTCATATAATATTTGTTAAGTTTTTCAAGCAGAAGTTTGGCATACAATGTTATCGCTTAGTTTCATGTGGAAAATAAAAGTTTTCACATAATATTTGTTAAACTTGTTAACTATTGCCGAGCGCAGCGTTCGAGGCGTGAATTTGATCTAAACAATCCTATCTTTCCAGAAGAGGCCTGCCAAGAAGAAGCGTCTGTTATCGTCATTAAAGGTAATTTATTTACATCTTTCTCCTTCATTTGATCACCTGCCATAAACCATCACTTTTAGAGCTGGTCTGCCGTAGCATGTACCAGTATATCACAAAACTTTCACCAACTTTTATTTCTTCAGTATAATTACTACGTTTTTGGCTGTAGATTTTTTAAATAGCTTCATAACTTGTAGCCTGTTTCGTATTTGTCATTCTGGGTAAATGCAGATTACCTCATTTTAATAATTATCTTATTATCTTATCTTACATCTTAAACTGAACTGAAGGCACCTTGTAATTACATAACACGAACTGTATTTTTAAGTAGATGAAACTAAAGGCATGTTCAAAGCAATATATTTTTAATCTTGTTCTTGAAGCATCACTTGCAGAGGAGCTGTCTGAAGCTGAAGGCATGTTTCAATATACTTGTATACTTATATACTTAGTGTATACTTAACCTTCACCCTGTTTTCAGAGGAGCTGTCTGAAGCTGAAGGCTACATGTGCGAAGAGTGCGGCGACACGCTGCCCTCCAAGCAAGACTTCGTCCAACACTCGCGCTCGAGTCACGACTTACGGGCTCACGAGTGCGACCTGTGCGACCGAGCCTTCACCTCGAAGCTGTCCCTTGAGAACCATCGTGCTGGACACGCCCCACGGACCTCGTATCAGTGCTCCAACTGCCAGCTAAATTTTAATAATATTACGAGTCTGCAAAGTCATTCGTGCCGCCGCTCTCATGACTGCGTGTGCCAGTTCTGTGGGAAGCGACTTGGTAGTGCAGCGTTGCTGCACAAACATATGGCGCAACACGACGAGGGACTGGCTTATAAGTGTGAAGTTTGCTGCAAGTTCTTTGAGTGTAAAAGTGATCTCGATTTGCACGCTAAAACTCATCAGAACGAAAGACCTCACATCTGTGATATTTGTAATATTGGCTTCTTCTCTGCCGGTGGTCTGAACCGCCACCGAAAAGTTCACAAAAGAAACCAAGGAGTTGACAGCTCAGAAGATCTGCGCTGTGCTCACTGCCAGGCTAACTTCACCTACGCGGAGAGCCTGAAAAAGCACATGAGTTCCGTGCACAACATCGGCAATGCAGACGTGAAGCCAACAAGCCTGCCCTTCTCCGAGGACCGCGTGGTTGAGGAGCTACAAGAGCAACTCAATGAAGGATACGCGCCCAAAAATTCCGAACTTTACGACGTTCCCGGGGCCTCTGAGACGCTGGAAAGCAAATTCCCTGTGGACCCGTTCAGATGTGGCATATGCGAGGAGTCCTTCACTGACGTTGACATGATGTGCGACCATTTCTCGAACTGCCACACCGGCGAGCAGCCGCTGTACTGCGAGACTTGCTGTGTCGGCTGCTCCAACGAGCGTCAGATGGAGCGACATAAAGGCGTGCATATATCCGAGGAACAAAATACCGTCATTCCGAAGCAGTCTGAAGACCTCCCACATCTCTGTTTGGTGTGCGGCAAGGGCTTTAAAACTGTCCAGGAGCTTACCAAACACAATAGAGTTCATAATGTGGCCAAGCATTTCAAGTGCACTATTTGCTCAGCATCGTTTCCCATAAAATCTGCGCTCGATAAGCACCTGCTGGTTCATACTGGGGAAAGGCCTTTCAAGTGCGACGTTTGCCTGAAGAGTTTCCGTCAGTCGGCGGCACTAGTACGACATAAGCTATGGACTCATCGACTCAAGAACCAAAATAAATGCGAGATTTGCGGCAAGACTTTCTTCACCACAGCGCTCTTGATTTATCATCTGGACGTCCATGGCGACCAAGGAAGGAGCGTCAAGCGGAAGCTGGAAGCATCTATGGACATTGAGGAAGAAGGCGATCAGGACAGCGATGCTAAACCAAAAAGCGATGATGAAGATGGACTTGTCAAACCTGAAGTTAATGTCAATAATAAATGTGAGTATTGTTCTAAGACGTTCCCATCTTACGTGGCTTTACTCACTCATAAATTAACTCACAAACTGTCAGCGTCGTACAAGTGCGACCAGTGTCACCGGACGTTTAGGGAGAAGCGGTACCTGCAGAAGCACAAGCTCACACATCGCGGAGTGCGCAGCTGGAAGTGCGATATTTGCAAGAAGGGCTTCGCTGCAAAGCTCACCCTCATACGGCACTCTCAGGTGCACATACGGGAGGCACTCAGACCTGAGGTGGACACCCACCAGCAGCCTTTGGGTGATGACAACCAAGAGTCTCAAGGCGGTGTTCCGTGCACTCTGCCCTCAGTGCTCAGGTGCAATGAATGCAACGTTAATTTCTCGCATAAAAGCCATTACGTTCGACACAAACTCTTGCATTCTGGAACTCCTCTGCTGAAGTGCGGCTTGTGCGATAAGATGTTTGTCCACAAGAGCGACATTATCCGCCATAAAGTGATGCACTCGTTCATGTTCACATGCGATGTCTGCAACAGGAACTTCCACAAAAGGTCCTTGTACATCATGCACAAGCGCAAGCACACGGAAGGCAAGCCCTTCCAGTGCGAAGTGTGCAACAAAAGCTTCTCGAGCAGCAGCAACTTCAACGCCCACAAGAGAATACACAGCGGCGACAAACCCTACAAGTGCGATCGTTGTGACTATAAATGCTCCCAAAGCGGCCGACTTATGAAGCATAAACGAATGCACTCCGGAGTGAAGCCTTACCTTTGTCAGACCTGCGGGAAATTTTTCGCAAACGCAGAATCTCTTAAAGTCCACCAGCGGCTGCACTCAGGGGACCGTCCTTTCAAATGCCACATTTGTGGCAAAGGCTTCATAAATAATGGAAGTTTGAACCAACACATTAAAGATCATGTCAAGCAGGAAACTTTCAAGTGTGACGTTTGTCCTCATAAATTTCGCCGAGAAAGCCATTTAATCCGACATAAGCAGTACCACATTCAAGTTGAGGCTTCAAATTCCGACCATCCTGGTCACATGTGCGAAATTTGCGGACGTGTTTTCGACAAGAAAAAGTACCTGTACACTCACGGCAACGTACATAGCCGGCAGAAAAACTACTCTTGTAAGATGTGCAACAAGCAGCTGGCGTCACGTCTGGCCCTGAAGAACCATGAACACATCCACAGCGGCCTGAAGCCTTACCAATGCTCCGAGTGCGCTAAGGTCTTCCGAAGCAGCAGTAATCTTAATCGTCATCACAAGATGCATGACGGTCGCGAGTCTCTTCGTTGCGACGAGTGCCAAGAATCTTTTGTTTGCAAGGAAGATTTAACGGAGCACAGCCACGTGCACGTCATGATGGTTGATGATGTCGACGACACCGCGGACTCGGGAGCCTCCAACGACAATCCGCCTCATCTTTACGTTTTCGAGTCCATGTCTGAAGACTTGGATTCCTCGAGACAGATCCTGGTGGGCAGGGGGCAGCAGCAGATATTCGTGGAAGGCAACCAGTCCCTTCTAGTCTTCCCCGAGGGCCCAGAAGCTCAGTTTTCCGAGTTGCCTCAAGTTCAAAAAACCGAACCTAATGTAAACACAATGAACAAACGCCCACAAAATTCCTATTTAGCGTCGAATTCTTCTCAAATTTCATCGCGTCAGCTTGATTCTCACACGGTCCACTCCATCCAAATGGAGGATCAGCAACTTACTGCCGCGGATCAGCCAAGATCTCAAATGTCTTCTCTAAACCAGCCCCAGATTTCCGTGTCCCACATCTCGGCCCCACACTCCTCAATACAACAAATATCGGGCCCCCGCATTATTGGTCCTACGCTAACTGTGTCATCTGACCCACTAGTGCACTCTAATCAACTGTCAAACACACACTTGCTACATTCCAACCAACTGACCAGCATTGAATTCGAATCCGAAGACATGGAGGCCGACAGCAGCACAGTGGTTCATGAGATGGACCATCCGTCGGACGGGGCCTTTCAGCCCATGGAAATTGTCGAGCCAGATATTGTCGTGGATAGTCTTAACTCTAACGACCCTCAGACTCAACAAAAAATGATGAGCTTCATGACGTCACAAGTTCATTCAATGACGAACCCTAACGCGAGAATGGACCAAGAGGGCGGCATGCTTCAGGATTCTCTTACCGTGGATACGTTGGCAGAGGAGGCCAATGCGGCTTCTCCTGCCGTTGTTAAGAATTACAACTGTCAGGTATGTGATAAAACTTTTGCTAAGAAGCAATATCTTACGAAGCACATGTACCGGCACCGAGATGTGAAACCGCACGAGTGCGATGTCTGTGGTAAAAGGTTTGCTCAGAAGTTTGAAGTTGTTGTGCACAAGATCAAGCACACCGGGGAGAAACCCTTCTCATGCGACATCTGCGCTAAGCAATTCCGCAGTAAAGTTAACCTCAACAACCATAAGATGCGCCACAGCGGCGAGTTTCCTTTCTTATGTTCAGTTTGTCGTCGGGGCTTTTCAACTCAGCTGCAGCTGGAGCGCCACGTCACTCTGCACACTGGCATGCTTCCCTTCAACTGCGACCACTGCAACAAGGGATACAACATTAAAATGAACCTACGGAAGCACATATTAAAAGTACATCGGCACAGCAGTCGCGTTAGAGATCGCGACCGCGACTATTCCATGGATGCTGATCATTTAGTTGAAGAGCTTGAGGACGTCGAAGACTCGACCAACCAGCAACTTGGTCACGATCTCAAGGTGACCATCGTGGAAGGCGATCGCGATTACAAGGGCCAAATTAGCATCAAAAGTGACCAAGATCTCATGGAGGAATTTGATTCCTCGACGGACATCACACTTTTCCCCAAGCCTGGTGACCACGAGATGTCGTTCGCTAATGACATGACGCTCGCCATCAAAGCTCCCGGCGGCGACGACCGTACCATCTTGTACCAAGAAGCTGCGGAGGGTTCAAGACCAAGACCCAAGCATGACAACCAGCGGGGACTTCCCAGCACCATTTTTACGACAACTACTCGCCCATCATCGCAAATTTTGCATATTAAAACGGACGACTTGTCGGTGCAGCCAGTGTACCATTTGCAGCCAATCGAATCATCTTCGAATGATGAGATGTTCGCATCTTACGTGCCGACGCTCGCTGATAGCGACGGTGGCGGCAGCTCAGTTCCCATCATCGTGCTACAGTCTTCCAATAAAACCGCCCCTGGCCACGTGTTGGAAACGGAACAACCTGAACAAAAACAAGTTCCACTACAGCGCTTCTGCCAAGTGTCCGAGTACATTCAAGCGATCCAGAGCGGTACGCACACTGACCATTTCATTTCCCCCGACTCTGAGCAAAAGATTATCCAAGTTTTACCGCCGCAGTCCAAGCTTCAATCTAATGACAGGTTCACGTTACAACCAAACAAAAGCAACCGCATCTTGTCTCTCGGCGGAGAAGCCAGGCTCGCAACCATCGATGCAGAAGGCAATTTAATTCCTTTATTCCCTGCGTCGAACATGAAGTCCACCGCAGCTCCGGGCCAGCGACTCTACTCTTTAGCGGACGCCGGGACGAAGTTTGTGACGATGGCAGGGACGAGGCAGGAGCTCGACGACGACTTCCCCTCACGTCACTACCAACACAGTCACGAAGAGGGGGGCATTCATGTGGCAACGGACGGTGAGGCTTTGATGAACGTTGATAACGTTTGTGAGGAGAACTACGAGTAAAGGAATAAAGTGGAGGATACTGCGAGTAGTTGAATAAAGTGAAGGAAACTGCGAGTAGTTGAATAATGTGAAGGAAACTGCGAGTGGTTAAATAATGTGAAGAAAACTACGAGTAGTTCATTAAATAAAGGAATCAAGCAACGCCTCTAAGCACCAAGTGGCGTCAGTGCCATACTCTCACTACACGACAGTTGCACGACAGACTACGTGTGCCACTACACGACAGTGGCTCGACTGTTGTTGTTGTAATTGCCCATCCTGGTAGTGGCGAGTAGGGTGATAGGTCAGTTTTTCCAGGCACTTAATGCCACTGGTAGTTCTACGACCATCACTGGCTCGCTGATTGTCGTAGACTGTTACCATCAGTTAATGATGGGTCTACATCAGCTGCTACAAATGATGCCATATGTAATGACATTTAATTGAATGACATTTAAATTCAATAGTCATTATCAACGATTGATTGGCTGCTAGTTTGGTGTAGAAATTGTGAATTTTCTGTACCGCCGTCACATTTGTTCTATCAGCCTTTGTTATTTGCTTTGCCGGCTCTACAATAATCATGTACAGCCATCGTAATTCTTTTGTAATGCTGTACAGTAAACAAGTACAGCCATTTTAATCATCTTGCACAGCCGTTCAAAAATCAAGTGCTCACTGTACAGTCACTGTAATTCTCTTGTGTTACCGTTGTGTTGTCTGAATTAATACAGGATCTGTTTTTGTAGATTTTGTATGCCATTTGTTGTTGCTAATGCTACAGGCTGAGTACTACGGAGCTCGGGTAAAAGTATTTCTAATGAATTTATTTACTTAATATTATATTATATATTAAACTATGCGATGCGATCGAATACATTCAATCATGATAGGAATTTCGTTTCATTATCGTTGTATTATTTCGTTCATCACATACACGATGGCAAACTTAATTGCGTTTACATTTCCTTCATTTTCTAAAAGTATTTTTGTGAGTCTTGGTATGTAAGGAGGTAAATCTTACTTAGTACGGAGGTAAATCTTACTTAGTATAGAGGTAAATCTTACTTAGTATGGAGGTAAATCTTACTTAGTACGGAGGTAAATCTTACTTAGTATGGAGGTAAATCTTACTTAGAATGGAGGGAAATCTTACTTAGTATGGAGGTGTAGTCTTACTTAGTATGGAGGATACGGGGGAGGATAGAGGATACGGGTGAGGATGGAGGAGGATACGGGTGAGGGTAGAGGAGGATACGGGTGAGGGTGGAGGAGGAAGAGGATACGGGTGAGGTGGAGGATACGGGTGAGGGTAGAGGAGGATACGGGTGAAGTGGAGGAGGATACGGGTGAGAGTGGAGGAGGATACGAGTGAGGGTGGAGGAGGATACGGGTGAGGGAAGAGGATACGGGTGAGGGTAGAGGAGGATACGGGTGAGGTGGAGGAGGATACGGGTGAGGTGGAGGATACGGATGAGGATGGAGGATACGGGTGATGGAGGAGGATACGGGGGAGGGAGGAGGATACGGGTGAGGTGGAGGAGGATACGGGTGAGGGTGGAGGAGGATACGGGTGAGGGAGGAGGATACGGGTGAGGGTGGAGGAGGATACGGGTGACGATGGAGGATACGGATGATGGAGGAGGATACGGGGGAGGGAGGAGGATACGGGTGAGGTGGAGGAGGATACGGGTGAGGGTGGAGGAGGATACGGGTGAGGGTGGAGGAGGATACGGGTGAGGGTGGAGGAGGATACGGGTGAGGGTGGAGGAGGATACGGGTGAGGGTGGAGGAGGATACGGGTGAGGGTGGAGGAGGATACGGGTGAGGGTGGAGGAGGATACGGGTGAGGGTGGAGGAGGATACGGGTGAGGGTGGAGGAGGATACGGGTGAGGGTGGAGGAGGATACGGGTGAGGGTGGAGGAGGATACGGGTGAGGGTGGAGGAGGATACGGGTGAGGGTGGAGGAGGATACGGGTGAGGGTGGAGGAGGATACGGGTGAGGGTGGAGGAGGATACGGGTGAGGGTGGAGGAGGATACGGGTGAGGGTGGAGGAGGATACGGGTGAGGGTGGAGGAGGATACGGGTGAGGGTGGAGGAGGATACGGGTGAGGGTGGAGGAGGATACGGGTGAGGGTGGAGGAGGATACGGGTGAGGGTGGAGGAGGATACGGGTGAGGGTGGAGGAGGATACGGGTGAGGGTGGAGGAGGATACGGGTGAGGGTGGAGGAGGATACGGGTGAGGGTGGAGGAGGATACGGGTGAGGGTGGAGGAGGATACGGGTGAGGGTGGAGGAGGATGCCTCAGCGCTACGATTTAATGAGGCTTGGGTAAACCCTTGAATTATATAAGCTTCTTTCATTATATAGAAAAAATCATTGAAAAATGTTATATAAGAATCTTTACAACAATGGTATAGACAAGGCAACTGTTACAATAAATACAAGCAAGAGACTTACTAAAATTAGAACAAGAACTAATAAAATGTGCAGATGAATCCTTGTAACTTTGGATTTGAAATTAAGATGAATTTATATTGTTTTGCTTGCTGCAAAAAATGAAGTAAAATTAAAATAACAGCCTCTGATAAATGAAATAAAATCGGAAACTTTTTCATGTATGAAAATTGATCAAAATAAACTTAAAACTAAGACGAAGTGAAAATGCCGCCCCAGCCCAGCGTGTGCCAGCATCAGGCAACGTCCAGCATCAGGATACATGCTGTACAATGATACATGCAGTACAATGATACATGCTGTACAATGATACATGCAGTACAATGATACATGCAGTACAATGATACATGCAGTACAATGATACATGCAGTACAATGATACATGCAGTACAATGTTACATAGTACAATGCAATACATCGCTATAGGGAGTTAACATGTGTAACTAATGCATTGAAGGCAACAATGATAATAATATTAAGGGCCACGAAGGCACCAGATATGCCGGTGTTCACGTCACAAGACATGGACACTAAAAACCTCAACGACTCACAGTATCTCCAGGTTTGTGTTTGAAGCAATGATGTCATGCCTCTATCAATCATCAATCATTTGCAATGATTATATATTGTTATATTGCCAATCAACAATATTTTCTAACTTTTAAGCATGCTATATTTAAAAATTGAAGCAGTGAAGTCCTGCCTCCGCCAATCATCAATCATTTGCCTATTGTTCAAGAGACATTATCAGCCTTATCATGGTGGTATATATGAATGACTGTTAAAAATAAGTGGCTGAGAAATCAAAATTGAAGCTCAATAAAAAACGCCCAAGATAAAATATCTCTGCAATTAATGCATTAATATCAGCGACTTTAATCAAGTTAAAGATTTTTGTTGACAAATTTTTACAAACCTTTACACAATGCACAATTCTCAGCGTAGTGACTGCATTAATAAATACGGTCATAATACGTAATATCCGTATGATTATCTTCTATTGTTGCTATTTCTTCCTTCGAAATTCATATATTTTAAAAATGGCTCAGGAATATTTGGGTCCAAAAATGTCATATTCGTCTTAATGTGTCATTTTTGTTTAAATTTGCCTCAAAACCTAGCATTAATTCTCAAATCCTAGTCCGTTAACTAATGTGTTTATACAAGCGCTACATTAAACATGTCCATCACAGCACGGCAGTTTCAGCTGCAGCTGGCAACACTTGTTTCGCTCCAGCCAACCGAGCACCACAACTGTTGCCAGCTGACGGATAGCATCTGTCAACCTCCAGGTGCCAGCTAGTCAACTGTAGCTAATTAACTAAAAGAAGCTCCGACGCTTCCAAGAGACTCGGCAATCACGATTGCTTGAGACTAGACAATCAGGATTGCTGTCACGGCACACTGGCGTTACAAGTGTCTCAAGTCGTCACCAAGTGTCTCGTGTCTAGTGTCTACAAGTGTCTCAAGTCGTCACCAAGTGTCTCGTGTGTCTTGTGCCTCGTGTCTACAAGTGTCTTGCTGTCACCAAGTGTCTCGTCTTGAGACCAAAAATCAGCGCAAGCTTCTTCAGTGCACTACTCTTCTCCACGTGAACAAGTGCTGGATAATTCCAGAGTAGTTTTAATTTAGAGAGAGTAGTTTAATAGCAGTTTAATTAATAGTGGTTAATTAAATTAATTAATAGTAGTTTAATTCAGAGTAGTTTTAATTTAGGTAGGAATAGCAATGCAAGCGTGCATGGAACTGTCGATCTTCGTGAGCCAATATAGGCCCATCTACGAAAAAATTTTTGATGGTATAAAATTTCCGTTAAAAAATATAAAAATAATCCATTAAAAGCATAACGCTATATAAATTTACGCTGCAATATTACACCACATGATGCCTGCAATATTACACCCACATGATGCCTGTAATATTACACCCACATGATGCCTGTCATATTACACCCACATGATGCCTGTAATATTACACCCACATGATGCCTGTAATATTACACCACATGATGCCTGCAATATTACACCCACATGATGCCTGTAATATTACACCACATGATGCCCGTAATTTTACACCACATTATGCCCGTAATATTACACCCACATGATGCCTGTAATATTACACCACATGATGCCTGTAATATTACACCCACATGATGCCTGTAATATTACACCACATGATGCCCGTAATTTTACACCACATGATGCCCGTAATATTACACCCACATGATGCCTGTAATATTACACCACATGATGCCTGTAATATTACACCCACATGATGCCTGTAATATTACACCACATGATGCCCGTAATTTTACACCACATTATGCCCGTAATATTACACCCACATGATGCCTGTAATATTACACCACATGATGCCTGTAATAT